CAAACGGTAAAATATATTTTAGTATAGTCAAATTTACTACTGTACATAAATGATTTTATTTCAACAGATAGGTATGAAATAAAAGAGAGTTTTCAAGCATTAGTAAAAAATAAAAAATGATTCAATAAATACATAATATCTCCTTAGATATCAATAAATTGCAAATTGTTGATTTAAATAACTTGTAAATTTTAATATATTAAAAAAATATTGAATATATAATATTAATATAATATTTTGGATAGTGATATCAAAATTAAGTAAAAAATATCACAAGTATTCAATAAATACTTGTTGAAAAATTACTAAGATCAAAATAAAAGAATAATAATAAGCTTGTCTTTACTTAAAAAAACTGAAATATTTTATATTGAGCAGATAAATGTTTCTTGTGTACATTTGTAGAAGCGAATAAAGTAGAGTAATGTTTGGTGCAACTCTATTTTATTAATGATAACAATTTGTACATCTGTCTATCAAGTAGTTGAGAGTGGACGTAGTAAAAAATAGCAAAAAATAATGCGGTTTCCTTTTGATTGCTCATACGTGACTGTCTTGTGTATACTGACCAAGAATCAGAAAGGAAAGCGGGAAGAAGACATATTCCTTTATATTTATGTTTCATTTTTTTGTTTTGCATTTGTTTTATTTGATAAAAAATCCGAATGAAAACTGATTAATCGTTTACATTAATTTAAGTAAAAATGTTTCATTACAAAAATTAATGGTGCAAAATTTTTTTTTAACAAAACCCTACTCTCTGTAAGTAATGACATGAAAAAAAACACTTGACATTATTTGATTAGTTTTCATTTAAGTTTAAAAAAAACATCTCATACCTAAAAAAAATTTAAAAATTATAGTAATCATGTTCAAGTTAAAAGAAATTCATATTTTATTGTCCGTTCAATGTTTAAATGAAAATAAAACAGTAAATCTGTTAGTAATACCACACTAATGAAATAGAAAAATTATATTAACTTAAAGGTTACTTTTTTCATTAGATAATTTGAAAGTTTGACATTTTTTCTATTATTGACAAAATTCCCAGAGCACGATATAGCTTCCAAAATCCAGATAATAGATATCGTCATTAATATATCAATAACCTCACTGAAATATTCTTGAAAAATTACACTTATATGATGCAATTGGTCGAAGAAATTTGCTACGCGTGTCAACCATTATTTGTTATTACATTGTAGCTGAAAAAACATTTTAATTATTTTAGATTTTTTAGGATTTTTATATGAAATGGGGATTGTTAGTTATTTAATTACGACTTATGTTTTATCTTAGATGAAATAATTAAAATAAAATATAATTACTTATTTGAAAAACATCCGATTCCTCACAAGTGTAGAAATAATGAAAATTTAAAAATATAAGAAATGATGAAATGAATTATTTTTAAATTTCTTTAACGAATAATATAATTTTATTTTTTAATTCTTCTAGTTATATTTGCTATTTGTTTTGAAGGACATTTCAAAAGGCCTATGATTTTAAAGATTAATAAACTATTAATTAAAATTATAATTGTAAACTTTCTCAGATGTCAGTAAAATACTTTGAAAATTTTTTCAAGGATTAGAAATAATTTCATTCTAATTTTAATACAAGCATTAATTTTAAATTATCTACTTTTTAATGAAAAACTATCCCAAATTAACCGTTATTATTAATTATTGGTTATTTTGGTAAATATTTATAGTGTTGCAGTCTTATTTCATTGATCTTTTGTATTTCGACACAATTTGAAATTATGTGACTTTTATTAGTACGTTGAAGTTGAACAGCCATAAAATGTTGATATATGTAAATTGTGTACCTAACCAATTTCCAATCTCGTCAAGGGAATAGATAATGGTAAATTTTATTTCTCAATGTTTGCTGTTGATTACTTGTTTTAATTTCTTTCTGACGATATGTATATGTTTTCAAATGCAAAATCTAGGTATGATGTATATAATAGAAGACAATGTTTTAAAAATCATATATTACCTATATGAATTCATTAATATGTGTAATGTAATCTCATACATATAAAGATTTTTTTAGGGTTTAAGCAAAAGACCAATTTTTTCTTTATTTATCGTCATTCAAAATTTATATAACATTCGAATTTATAATACTTTTTAAATTAATTTGTTGAATGATTTAATGTTGTATTATAAAAAATAAACTAAATAAAGGTAAAAAAATTTTTCACTAGGAATTTGATAATTGTATTATTTGTGTTACTCTGAATGATTCTGACTGGTATTTTTTGAACACAAGAGGTTAAAAAAATGTATTCTTTAAACAAGCAGGTATATTATATTAACAATTTTGCGCGGCGTTGATTAATATTTTCAATTGATGTTATTGTAAACAGAATTGTTTGTCCATGTCAACGAACAGTATTCACAGGGGGTCCAATGATTAACAGTATTCTCTCTCAAACTAGATGAATTGAAAACAGACAAACTATCCCTTTTAAAAGAATAAAAATTCAACTTTTTAACTTTGAATTTAAAATACCATTTAACATTTTGGCCAACTAAAATTCTATATATTATTTTATAATTAATCACTAACGAAATTCCATAAAATATCTCTTTTTTTCTAATCACTTCTTTCCTAGACCAACTGTTCTGGACTAGGTTTCTAAAATAAAGTTAATTCTCTTGATAGATTCAATAAAAATTGAACATTGATGATATGGTTTCACTATTATTTTAACAATAGTTCTACTTTAAAATCCTATGGGAAACTTAGCACACAAGGAAAGATCGATAGAAAAGCTTCGGGATTTTGACGACCATGTTTAAAATAGTAGTAGATAAGTGTTGAAACCGTAAAATTATTTTGGACACAATGAGAGTGGGCCTGTAATAAACTGAGTTTAATATCCTACGGGAAATTCATATTGGTTTTCTCGTTTTTAATATAAAACATTTTTGTTTTATTTTAAACATGCTGTGGGTATGTTCCATAGATCGTTAAATATACAGCGGTATCTCTCTTGGCATTGCTATTCATTAAATAGTAAACTTGGCCATCTATCATAAAACTTTTCGTGTAATTGATTAAATTCTTCATACGTTTCAGTTATTCCACTTTCATATGTTTTGACGAAAATAATAAACGAATGAGTTTTTTTTATTATTTTTAAATTCATATTACACAAATATTTTAAAGAAAAAACGAATTTTTTTTAATACAAATATACAAATTAATGTTTAGAAAAATTTTGTTTGATTTATTATATTACTCTTTCACCAAATATTTAAACATAATTGAAATAATTTAATTGAAATTAATTAGGAAATTTTTTAGTTTGAAAATAAATATAAATTTTAACCAATTAAGACATGTATGTAATTTTTAAAAATCACTGCTTACCTTAAAATTTGATATAAGTTAGTGTTATTAATTATAAAAAAATATAAAAAGTAGTGAATAAAAAAAACTAATTTTTGTAATGTAACTTTGAAATGTTGGGAGTGATTAATTCTGGTGAGAAATGTTTTATACATTTTACAAGTTTTGCTATATAATGCTCTTATATATATATATATTTATATCTAGAATTGAAAATCCGTTAATCTACCTTTCTCTTTCTACGCGTAGCTTGTTTATTTATTACATTTATTTTAAACGACTAATAACATTAGTAGTTTTTTCTGTGAAGTATTTCATGAAAGTATTTTAATCACTTTTATATAAGCCGCCACAAATGTATGGAACTTTAACTTAAACTTAATTTTAACTTAACTCAAATTTAAAAAGATTTGTAATTAATGCACTGTAAAATTAACTTCCCTCTTTCAAAAGTAATTAATTTTTTTTAATAATATTTTGTATTTTACCTGATTATGCCATTCTGTTTACAAAATATGTAAAATAATATTTTGATTTCTTAAAAATTAAGTAATACCAAATGTTAAAACTATACTAATACTACATAGTAACTCAAATATGATAGTACAATATTATTACTATTATTGTATGTAACAAATTTTATATTTAATAAATTGTGGATATTATTACTATAGGAGCTAGTTAAACAAATTAATGTTTTATTTATTTTATACTCGCTTGCTCGTAGTAAACTTATTTGCAAATATCTTTGTATATTCCACCAAACGTTGCACCAGTTTCTAAAAAAACATTAACAGTATAATAAAATTTAATGAAATGTTGACGCTGTATTATAATGAAATATAAATTTTGTATTTAAAATGTTTCTCTAAATAATAACTACACATATTAACTGTAAAGTTCTGTATTTTTTTAAATAAGCGTATTATCATAAACGCGATATTTTTATTTCAAATAACGGTTCTTTCGTAGAAAATTAATCGTAGAAGTGAAAATATATTAAACACGTAATAAAAATTGAAGTACTTTCAATAATGCTCTTAAACAAATTATTAATGTAAAAATCTCAATGATATAACTTAGTTAAATAAATGTAAAAAATTATTTCATTACAATCATTGCTCACTTAAATTGGGTATCAAATTTGTAGCAATCTTTCGATCATATAATATGTGTCATGCTATTAATTACTTGTACTGTATAAGTTGAACTTTTTATAAATAAAAAAATACAATATCTCAAGTACGAAAAATATACTACAACTGTGTGTGGCAATGTACAACAACATATAAATATACGAGAAACTAATATTTGTTTTATTGCCAATTTTACGATACTTAAAATCATAGAATTACTTGGAGATATAGGAACTATTTTTAAGTCGCTATTTTTTTAAGTTAATAGGAAACTATCACCTAATAAAGCTTTGAGAAAACTGTGCTCCTATAGAAAATGTTGAATGTAAGTTGTTTATAAGTATAATCTCCCTCCCAAAAGAATTTTTCAACTATTATCGTTTCGCATTTTAATGACATATGTAGCTGAATGTTGTTGATTCTTGGTGAATTTTTCCAATTTTGAAAACATAATATTATGCCTACTGAGGTTCGATAATTTGTAAAATATCGATTTAGCAGCCATGGACCGTCTGCGCTCAACCTTCAAACGGTCACGGACGCCTACGGGCGCGGAGATGAAAATGCAAAACAGCTTGGAAGTTCCCAAACAGGTGCGGTCAGTTTCGTTCGATGAAATCAAATTGGGCTGTTCGAAACGGGATGAGGATACTCGCAAGTCTGTTACCAGTGATAGTTCACTAGAAGGACCATCTTCCTCGTTGCGAGTACCAGGAAGTGGTCAGCGATCAAGAAGTTTTGATTCGTCCAATGCTGTCGATAAAGAAGATACTACAGTATTCCTGGAAGTGCCGTCCACCAAACATCAATTATTCCATCGGCGGCGGTCGTCCGGAGAAAAAGTATCGGCCGCCGCCGCTTGTGTTCACTGTGCTTATATGGAAGAATTTTTAAAAATGAATCGATCTTCTTCGGGTGATGACAACCTAAGGTATAGATCTGTCCAATATATTTGAGCCATCATTAAAATTCAATGTATTATTATATTCTTCATATCAACCATCTAAAAATAAAAAAGTATTTTTTCACAGTTCAAATTTCTTTTAATGAAAAATCTATAATGATCGCAAAGTTAAAAAAAATGGATAGCATCAATTTTCCAATCGTTCAAACGTCACTACTATTTCTAACAGCACTTGAAAAATTTTCCGTTTTATTTAATAAAATGTATATATATATTTTTTTAAATCGTTCGAATTCCAGATATATTCGTTTTTTTCTTGTGCTAAAAAAATAGGTGTATTACTATTATATTACATTTTATTAAAACGTTTTGTTGCTCTGTATCGTGCCCCTGTAAGACAATATTTATTTTCAATCATAAAAATTTAATATTTTCATAAAATTGATTTTTATTTTATGGTCCACTAATGTATAAGAATTTTATTTGCTCAAATAACCTATTTGTTATTAAATATTTTTCAATAATATCGTTGTCTTTTTTTTTTTAATAGCATGTTTTTTTAAATATTTACCGTTAAGTTAATAATGCAGCGTGTTTAGTTCGGAAAAACATACCTTTTAACATGCATACAATTAATTTTTTTTTTCGGTAAAAACATTTATTTTACTTTTGGTTTAAGATCAGTGAATATTCCAAGTTCAAAGCAAAGAGCTCTATCATACCCCAACTATATACGTAAAGATTAATCTACTTTAATTTTTATCAAATATTCTAAAATAAATAAGAATCTCTTCCTTGGATGATCTATTTGTTTTTTGCGTAACTTCATTATTTAATGCTGTTAAATAGTGGAATGACGTCATTACTTTTTTATTTTTTTATTATGCAGCCAGCGCTCGTTTACGTCGACATCGGCTAGCGAAGATTTAGACGATGAAGATGATCATGGTTGTCACATTACTGTAACTGTGGCTGCTGATCAACCAAACCTGATTGTAGTAACAGCTAAAAATCCCGCTTTAACATTAGAGTTGACGCCTCCCGAACAAGAGTATCATGGCAATCGTAGACGTTCAATAACGTCCCCAAAATTGGAGAGACAAGAAGCTTTTGTCGTGAACGACATAATGGATCCAGCAGCTGTCCGTGATCTTTTCCTAACTGTACCGGATTTAAAAAGAGATAGAGCGGCCAGTATGGACTCTTGTTTCATTAATAAAACTACCCCTAGTGGTAAGCCCGAAGAAGTCGTTCCGGTTTCTCCCACACAACTCTTAGATCCTAACAGTGGCCAAGCAGGAAACAGTAACCTTAGATCTAGATCCGTTGATATCGTATTGCCCACTGAACAACAAGCCAGGTACAAAGCCCTTTCCACAAATACTCAAACTTCACCTCCGTCAACGGTGCCCGCTCACAAAGTGCCACCTGACAAAGGGTAAATATAATTTGCAACTATGTTATTTAAGTTAAATAGTTGGTAATTTATATTCAAAAATACAACTAGTAGAAATAAATTAGAAAAGTTCAAAATGTACTTTTGAAAACAATTTCTTAAATAATATAAACAATGTATAAGTTGCTGTTGGCAATATTTTGATATTTTTTTTACCTGAAGAATTTATTTGAAGTTTAATATTTTACAATTTATTTAAATTAATATATTAAACCAAAATTCGATTTTCATATTAAAATTTTTCATTTAAAAAATAATTGAATAGTATCACTGTCGTCGTTTTGTGACATTGTTTTTAAAAATATGTTATTTCGTAATATTATAACCTCACAATTCAATTAGCAAAATACAAAGAGTCATTGAAATTGAGATGGTTATTAAATAAACGTCTAAATATTTATCAATTTTGAATGATTTTATTTTGTTTTACCAAGTTATCATTATTGCGTGCATCATTGTTATAACCGTAAGCAATTTAGTAACGTTTTAATTTGAAACTTAGATTTGAACAAAAAAAGTATTTGTATAAAAATAAATAAATATTTGAAGTAAAACGCGCAAATTTTCCTTTCAATTATTATAAAAGAAATATTTGAAGTCGTACTTTTTACTCCATAATAAATAAATTTGTATAATAAAAGTTTAAACTAAAATTATAATAACATTATGCTCAGTTTACATATATATACTTTTTAAAGTATTTCATACATATCCCTTACATGCGACACGCAATTTAAAATAAGACCATTTCCCTATTTTCATAGTGGTTAAAAACTTAAAACACACGTGTAAAAAGTTAACTTTTTTAAATTTTCTGGAAATACTCCAGGCTCCAAACATGTTATACATTAAGAATTTTGATACATATTGTAAGTTAAAAAAAAAATTTACCCACGCAACTTGTCTTCTATTAATAATCGGCCTCCAATGTTAAACAAAAAACGTTAATTTTTTGTAAAAAAATCACCGTTTTTCGTGTTATTATAATTTCCTACTTCAATTATTTATGTCTATATGTCAGGTCAAAGAGTATAGTTATATAGGAGGAAGAGATAAATACCCTCATTGGACAAAAAAAATAAAATATTTTAGAGTTAGTTATAAGTACATTATAAGGAGGTTTTAATCTCAATACAATAAGTAAACATTTTATTGTGAACATAAGTTCTGGATCTATCTATTATATATTTATTAAATAGTTAGATACTTTATTATGAAATATATTTTAATTAGTATAAATTAGATTCAATAAATAACAAATAACATTATTCTTTACATATATTTCAATTTTAATAAAAATTATCCAACAAAAGTTCATTTTAAAAACACAGGAAATTTCAATTGTAAAATGAACAATTATACATTTTCATTGAGTACTCAATAAAATATTTTTTGTTTTTTATTTTCGATATCATGCGAATTTTTTTAAATGAATTCATTAACTACACCATCAGAGACTAATTTCATAGTATGAATAATAATACCTTTAAAAACAGTTGTTTAGTATAGAGGTAAAAATGGGTGAAAAAAAGACCAATGGTGTTAAAAGGAAGGAATTCGGTAGATGGAAAACGATCAATCATTCCCAGGCAAAATTAGTATTTAAATAAGAAATTGATGTAAACAAATATCTAAATAAAGTCGACATCAATTGAGCCGTTCTTCTTTGTTTATTGTTTCTTGTACCATTATTGTTTGCATATTAATTAAAACTGAGAAAGCATCAATATTAATAAGAAAACGGATGAGGGTAGCTATATAAGTACTGCTGATGCACTTATTTTATATTGATCTACTTACTTCTTATTAACATCAATACAGAAAGATGGATGATATAGTATGAAGTTAATCTAGTTATAAGAATTCTTCAAGTTGAAATAAGATGATCCAAAAACAGTTTTCGCTTGTAATTCCGTTTTATATTTAGTGTCACCTATGAATATAAGAAAAACAACTTTTAAACCTAAATTTAAATCATAATTCTTTGTAAATATAGGAAAATACATTGAAATTTCTATGTTAAATATAAACACATGACCAAAATTTGAATTTATTGTTATATGGCAGCGTTACATTGAATTTTATTGCGCAGGCAGAAAATGTTTTTATACACACATAAATGGAGTCGTATAAAAAAGATTGCTGAAGTATGACGGGTTGTCTAGTTTTTTCTCTTCAAAACAACGTATGGCATTAGACTTATTTCGTAAGGTGTGGACTTTGCGAACACGTTTATAATATTTTCAGGTTTTCTTATAGGTTAAATAGTTGTTTGAGCAAATCTGACAGTTAATGTTCATTTGACATAAAATCTTTGTTCAAATAAAACAGTTCTACCACGAGCTACTGTTCTATTGGTTTAAATAATGCAATTGAAAATACAAATTATTACTACTCCCCTACAAGCTATAGAAATTCAAAACCACCAGTTTATTTAAGTTTTATTGGATACAAACCAATTTAATATCCATTATTGCAGGATGTTATTGTTGAAAACATTTTGTTCTGATTAAAGAACACGTATTTCTGTAATAGTCGATCAGTTGTCAAACTTTATTTGACAATTTTTTTAGTTGTTCACATTATTTATTTTATTTTAATTTATGTAATAAAATAAGAATAGTGAACTTATATAATTTATGCTGTAGAAATAAACGTTCTTCTCAGGTGAAAATAAAACATTAAATTGTATAAAAACAATACGGGAAATAATTTGTTTTGAAAATAAGTTAGTCAGTAACTATGAGTAAAAATAAAAATATATAAGTATACAAATTAATAAAGATATTTTACATAAAACTTAATTGGTTTTGAAGCAGTGAAAATTTAAACTATAAAAATATATATTCACGTTATATAATTTTCTACAAGATTATTATTGCATTTTTGGAATTTAGTTCACGTTTTATCAAGCTCGAAAATTCCCAAAAGCCGCTGAATTAACTATGGTGTTCCAGGGTTTATGGCACCCGGCTTTATGTGCCTAAATAAAAATTCCTCGACAAATTATTATTCAAATTTATTTCACTTTTGTGAAATCTACTGAATAAATACTCATGCGCATATCATATTAGTAAAGACTTTTCATTTTAAATACCAGTCGTATTCGGTTAACGCAACGTGAATTCACAACAAATTTCTACTAATATGACCTATAAATCTACTGAATATAACTAATACATGCACTTTAATGTTTTTAAAATACATATAATTCAGTCACTTATCATGTCAAAGGTTAATGATAACGGTTGACGGAACATTTACTAGATATTTTGCTATTAGTATATTAGTTCAAATAATATTGAGCTTTAACTAATTAGTTAATGTTCATTCAGTAAAATTATAAACAAGACTTATGACTTTTACTGTTTATTATAGCGGATGAAATTCACGAAATTGAAATTTAATTGATAGCGATAGAACTTAATGTTTTATAACGAACTTATTTGATTTTTTCACGAATTTGCGTTTTAAATGAAATTGTTAAACAATTATTGTTATTAAATATTATCGCTGAAATTCAACATAACCAACAAAAGTATATTTTTAAAGTGAAATAAACAAAAAAATTATTTATATCTTATAGATATTAAGACTGTTTAACTATGGGTAAACATTTGCTACTTTATTTTACATCATGAGATCTAAAAATACTAGATCGTTTAAAAATTTTAATTTATAACTTATATATATTAAATAAATAAAAGATATATTCAATATTTTATAGAACTGCTGGAGTGGATGGCAATGAAAAATTATTGAAAATCGTTCCAGATTGGACAGAAGATGCAATCAATGATGACCATTTGTGGTCCGTGACAGCACACAACGTCGATTTTTGTTACATAGGCGAATCTGAATGCACGGTAAATACATTGTAAATGTAATTTTTCTTCTTCTTCTTATATCTGTCAGTCGTTTTCAAAGAATTCATATTTAATAAAATACAAACACCTGATGCTTTTTTTTTAAATAAATTGGTTTTCAAAACAAAAAAAATAAATAATACATTTTATTTTTTATAACATTTTAATAGCAAAATAGAATCACTCAAATTATTCAAAATAACAAATCAGCTTAATAAAAATAAGGTCATTAAAAACAAAAAAAAACCTAAGCTTTAATAAGAAGCCATTTTAATTCCCACAACGCAACTAAACACATTATATATTTAATTTTTTTTTGTACGATTCATTTTTATTTAAAAAAAAAAAGAATGCGAAAGATAAAACGAACGAGTCCAAAATCAAATGCTTGAACAATATAACAGTGAAAAATAATTTAATACAACAAATCAGCTGTTTGAATCACTCTAGGTGGTCCTTATTGCTCAGTCGGAAACGCGTCGTGATGCAGAATTTATGTACCCAGTTTCGATTTTGTTTCGGTGGTCCATTGAAGTTTTCCCGTCATATCCGCTATAAGCAATAATTTCTTAAGGAAGAACACTAGATAAAAATAGAACAGTAAATAAATGAAAATTATTATAAAAAACGTCAATAAGAATCATTATCATGACTGAGACATTATGTACTAGACAAACAATGTAATTTTTAAATAAAAACCCTTTAGATTTGTTCTTCTGCTAGTATTTTTAGATAGTGTGCATTATAAACCTGCGTCGATCATTATTTATAAAATATGTTTTTAGTTATATGTTTGAATTTTAATATAGCTCTATCTGAATAGTAACTTCATTAAGATTATCCTTTTCGGATCCATCGCTTTTTCTACAGAATAGTCGCCGAAAAGTCAAAGTCACACTTACATAATTATTAATTTTTTTACAACCCAAAAAAGTCAATCTCTGACATATTCATCGTTTATGCTGAAATATTTAAAACATTAATTACATTTAAATTTCATAAAAAAAATGTATAAAACATTCGTCTAAAAATCTAACAAGGAAATTTCTTGAAGATATCAAATACTTTCTGCGATCGCTCTTAAGACATGTTTATCTGTTAGTCATCATCACCATAGCCTCTTTCCCAACTAATAACGGTACGCTTTAACGAAATTTTCCTTGGGGTGACGCAACCTCATTATGACTGAGGAAAACTAGTATAGGAGCAAAGTATGTGCACCGTTAGAGTTCCCGTGTAATCACGGGAATCCGGTAACCAACAGAAAACAGTGCAGCTTAACATAAACGCTAAGATGGTGACTGAACGATCCACTGAACTACATCACGCACCACTAATTTTTCTGTTGGTATTTTAATAAAAATTCGAATAATATGGCTCAACAGAAAACATTTTTATGGTCGTAAAATATGTAAAAAGTATTGTGGCTTAAATTAAATAACAATTGGATAATTGGACCATAATATTTTACGAGAAATAAATATGACCAATAAAGTTTATAATTAAAATGGAAACTTGACTGAAAGTAATCCCCACCAAAAGATAACAATTCTATTAATAATTTGTTTACATAAGTATACTATAACTGTCTACTCAATTATTTAAATAATGTAAAACGGTTTAATAATATCTAAAAGTACTTTAAAACTATGAAACCACCGAATAAATGAAACATAAAAATAATGTTTTTTTAAATTCATATTTCGAATTTTGAAAAAAAAAATATTTAACAAAGCACAGTAGGTATGATAACATGTGTTAATTTTCTTTTTCGTCGCATCATTTCTTAGTTTTTACTTATCAATTTTGTTTAACAATACATAAGAATTTAAATATAAAAATTATTATTGAATTGAAGATTTTATCTTTAAATTTCTCTTGTTTTCCATAAATATGAGAAATCCTCAAAAAATAAGTTTTAAAGATGGCAAAATATAGTTATTTTTTCCTTAAAATTGCAATAATTTTTTTTAAATTAAATGAATCAATCAAAACAATTTTTTTTTTTTTTAGAGCTCTTTATATATATTTTATAATATATCTACAAAACATACTCGAATCTCCATTTGGTAAGCTTATTAAAATAGGCCGTTATAGCAGTACAATAACCGTCACTACTAATCAGAAGTGAAATTGCGGAAAGGACTTATCGCCCTAATGGATTAAGTTAGGATGATGAAAATGGTGTCAATGGTTAGGTTTTAGTTTACCTTATTTATAGAAACCTAAAGTATTACGCACAATGTACTTGTAGGTCTGAGTGCATAGGCAGTTCTTAGCCACCACAACAAAAACTAACTTAAGGCATAACCAAGCGGGGTGGTAACATTTTAGAATTTTCTACCACTCTAGAAAAATGATAGGTTGTTGCCCTAGTCAGTTTTTATTAATTGAGTTTAGAGTTTCGGTGTTCTGCTCGTGATGTTTTATATACCCTTATTGTATTACTTTACAGTGTCTGATTATTTTCGTACAATTGTTTATTAATAAACGTCATTACTCATTAGAAGAGTAATTAAACAAGTTCTTCGAAGAAGAACTACGCAATCAGTTGGAGGTTTTACGTTAAGATAACGCTCGCCTTGCAGCTTTATAGACACAGCAAATTCAACGGCTTTAGTAAACCGCGTCGCAGTTAAGTTTCTACCTTTTTGGGCCGAGTTTTTTCAGGTGGACTCGCAGTTTGTAATCTCGGAAATAACAAGTGAAGAAACTAAATTTAATTATGTTGTTGCTCAACTAGATGCGCCTTATGCGGTTGAAGTAGAGAACAGTATTACTAATCCGCCGTCTATTGAACGCTACAAACACCTGCGCATAAAACTAGTTGAACGATTGTCTATTTTAAAAGAACAACGAGTGCGTCAACTTCTTAATGAAGAAGAACTGTGTGAACGCAAGCCATTACGGATTTTACGACATCTCCGTTCTCTTATCGGTACTACCACATTACAAAGCAATATTTTTCGTTAACTTTGCCTCCGCCGTCTACCATGCACAATCTATTTCAACTGCTCCTTCCTCTGAAGAAGGTAGCCGAACTGGATGACAAAATTTTTGAAGTACAGCCACCCACTGCCGCCCTTCGACCATGCTGTTGCTACAACGAACGCCAAAAGGAACTCTATGTTTTTGCTGTCATCGAATCGCTCACAAAAAAAGGAAGCGTATTATGTGCCAAACGCCCACAAAAAACTCGTTTTAGATCGCATAGTCATTATTGTAACACACCTCCAAACAGTTCAAACAAGGAACAGACTAATGACAAAGGATAGTGCTTGTATTATAGTATGAAGAAAAGACTGTCAAGAGTAAAACTCCCTGCAAATACCTGATAAACTCCAACGGCAGTCAGTAGTGACGGTAACAGAGTGCCCAAATCCTAGTAGTTACCTGTTTGTTACAGATCAAATAACATAAACGCCAATTTCAGATCGATCGGGCTCCTATCTTGTTACTCTCTACGTCTACTACGGAATCGCCGACAATCCATCGGTTACGACCTTAGCACGGCCAATAACAGTACCATAAAAACCTATGAAACTCTCCACCTTTACTCGAACCTAGTACTACGACGCCTAAATCCAGGTAGACTAACAATTGTCAAGCAGAAGTTCGCAAAATTATCAAATTAGACAATTACCACTAGACCTTTATGTAATATAGAAAAACAATTTCTTTACAGATAATCAAGAAAATAACAGTATGAACGACCCTACTAGTTTACTCGACCATCTCCGTATTATTATAAGTGAAATTCGTCCAGTATCTGCATCTCATCACTCGATCTTTTGTTTTTTCGATTCTCGAGGACTGTTCGGACGTATTTCTTGGGGAGGGAAGTGTTCGGACAGCACTAAAACCACCCTATTTCCTAAGCCTATTAAGGCTTTCACATTAAAAATTACTTATTAGTACGGCTGACAATAAATATACCCTGATGAAATTACCACTAATTATCGCATTAATAATTACTCTACTTTACCACTTATTTATTTGTTTATAAATTAATATTGAAAATTTACAATTGAATAATCACTAGCAAGCAGAAGCTTTAACAATCACACGGTTGGCATCCAGTGCTCTAAGGTCAAAATCAACGATCTTTTTAGTTATCACTGCTGATATCTCCGTTTCTAATAACTTGATAGTGAATTTATCAAGTCAAATGTCTGTCTATAATGGTCCTTTCTATACCGGGCCCTATATATACTAAGTTTTTTTTTACTTTTTATATTTATTAATATTAAATTCTAATAGAAAATACCGTTTATAATTGTAAATACTTTATAGTATAAATTAATTTTTTTCGTTAATTTTAAAATAATTCATTAGGAAAAACTATACTATAATATTTTACTCATATGTTGGAACAACTTACTTTATACCTTGGTAAAAGTTATTATATTTATATAGCATGAGTAAATAATTTTTTTTCTCCTTTAGTTCCCGGTACTTAAAAAATTATTTAATAAAATCCATTTTAATATAAAATTATTAATTTAGGTAAAATGCTCGTTTTCAATGCAACGAGGTTTAAAGAAAAAACACAATTGGAAAGCAAAAAAAAATGTCTTATTTTACCATTTTTATATTAGATAACAAAACATAGAACATAACAGTCTATATATGTATTATATCTCCTTTGATAATAAAAATTACTATTAGATTTAAATATTTTTTCTTTGGAATAAACTTGAACTATAATAAGAACTATTAAATATTTATTACAATTTTTTATGATTAGTAATTCAATGTCATACAAAATTTTTTTAATTGAATAATCGTTATTAATATATTTGTTACTGAAACTTGTTTTCTGATTACAAACAATAGTTTTCGAAATAAATAAACCATAAACTATATAGTTATTAATTTTAAATACATTTATAATTAATGAGTTCAAAATAATTTACAATTTCAAATAAAACTAACTTTAACCTTATTATTCTGTTTTCATGCGACTATGAATACATCGATATATTCTAAAGTAAAAAAAA